TCACCTGCGTGCGGGTGCCTCACCTGCGTGCGGTGCTTCACCTGCGTGCGGTGCCTCACCTGTGTGCAGGTGCCTCACCTGCCTGCAGGTGCCTCACCTCCCGCAGACGTGGCACCCGGGGACCTGTGTCCGCGGTGGCCTCGGCGGTGCTGCGGTAACGGCTGGGCTTGGTGATCTGGGAGGTCTTTTCCAACCGAAATTATTCTGTGATAAAGTGCATATTTAAATTTTAAAGTTGCTCTTAAATTTTCTCGTTTGCTGTTTTGCTTTGGTTTTGTGTGGGGTTTTTTAAGTGTTGATGACTGGAGAGATTTAGTTTAGATATTAGGAATAAATTCTTTGCTGTGAGGAGTTCCCTGGCCCAGGTTGCCCAGGGAGGCTCTGGCTCCTCCATCCCTGTAGGTGTTCAGGGCCACTAGGATGAGGTTTGGAGCAGCCTGGTCTAGTGGGAGGTGTCCCTGCCCATGCAGGGCTCTTGGCACTAGATGGTCCTTGAGGCCCTTTCCAACCCAAACCAGTCTGGGATTCTATAAGATTATTTAAAAACTCCCTCTCGCCTGCAGGAGCCCTCAGGCCTCCTCATTGTATCTTTTGGTGTTTCTGTAGAAACAAGCCACCAGGCTCTGCAGAACATGCCCAGAGTTCTCCGGGAAGTGGAAGTCTTGAAACAGGAGGCAACATTCCTGAAGGAGCAAATGATCCTTGTTAAAGAAGATATCAAGAAATTTGAAGAAGACACAGCTCAGTCAATGCAGGTGGGTTCTTGTCTTACTTAATGTTTATCTGCAACTTATGAATTGTACAAGTTTCCAGGCTTGTTCATGTTAAACAATCTTGTGATCTCAAGATAGACAAAAACACTTCTTTCAGCATTATTAGTAGAAAAGTGGGTGTGACACAGACCAGTGCAATCTGCATTTCCTTTGGAGCAGCTGGTCATGTTTCAGTTCAGACAGAGTTACCTGGCTGGTGACCCTGATTTCTGCCTTTTGTAACCTGGGGTGTGTAGCATTTTTCAGGCAAAGCAGATACTAAAAGTACAGATCCAAAATTCAAAGTGGTGTTTTGTTGTTTGTCTTTGGAAGTTGATTCAACATCTCTACTCTTTTAGCCAGCTCCTTCCTCCTTGTAACAGCGTGATCTTTTCACCCAGTTTTAAAAATCCAAGCCAACAATAACTCCACTAGTGTAAGTATCTGTGGTACCCATCTGTTGTGTCAGTGGACAACATCTTGCTTGTTTTCCTTCAGGTCCTGGTAGAGATTGACCGAGTGAAATCTCGGATGCAGTTGGCTGCTGAGTCCCTTCAGGAAGCAGACAAATGGAGCACGTTAAGTGCAGACATTGAAGAGACTCTTAAGACACAGGTAGATGCACTGTAATTCTTTCTGTTCTTTGCTCCTTCAGCTATCCAGGGAGACTGTGTTTAAAAGTAGGCTTTTGAAGTGACTTAAAAACATGCACCTGTTGGTAAAGTATCATTATGCAGTAAAGTATCCTTATGGTACATTCTGGCTTCCTGAGGTCCCTCTCAGTGACCAGGTTGCCTTTCCCTGCTGGCAGGACGTGTCTGTGATTGCAGCCAAGCTGACGAGCATGCAGAGCAGCCTGGCCATGCTGGTGGACACGCCAGATTACTCTGAGAAGTGTGTGCACCTGGAGGCCCTGAAGAACCGCCTGGAGGCCATGGCCAGCACGCAGATTGTCGCTGCTTTCAACTCCCAGTCTGTGGGTCAGTAAGGCTTGGGGTTTTTCACCATCAGCATGGAGTTTATTTTCTTTAAGAATAAATTGTTTGGATGGGACATATATGTCCAGAAGGCTCCTAGCACCGCATCAGGTGTGTTTTCTGGTGGAGCCAGATGCCAAGAAATGTTCTGGGCTCTGCAGCTGCCTGTGGTCCAGGTGCATCTTTGATTCTCCTGTAGTTTGGTGCACCTGTGGCCACTGTGGGGAATAGGGAAAATGTGGGCTGGTTTTATAGGCTGTGTGAAGTGGAGGTGCTGAGGCAGCGTGCTCTGCTGGCATGGGTTAGTTATGCATGGATGTCCTCCAGTGGGGGGGCTGTGCAAGTAAGCAGGAGGCCTCTGGTTTTGCATTATCGTAGTGCTGCTGGGCTTTTCTGTTGGGGCTTGGTGTTGTAGTCAGGAAAGAAATGTGTTTGGAAATATTCTGCCTCCTTACTACCTTCTGAAGTTTTTTATAAGCGGTCTTTAGAAGATGTGATTTTCTGGACTGTTCTTTTTGTTCCTCCTTCCCACTCCTCCAGTCACAGCACTTCTGAAGAGGTTCTGGTCGATGCCTCTGATCTGTGCACACCTCGAGGTCCCAGTGAGTGTCTGGGGCTGCAGGGCTGTGAGGTGCAGGTGCTATGTGAGGGTCCTGTCTAGGGGAAGGCAAGCACAGCAGTGCCAGACTGCAGACAGCTGAAGGGAGCAGAGGAGGGAAGGAGCTCTGTGCTTCTAACAAATGTGCTTAATCCTTCCTGTAGATCTCTCCTTTCTCTCTCCCATTCCTCTGCTGGCTTTCCTTCTTTGCACAGCCTCCTTATGTCTTGGGTTGTGCTCATCACCTTTATGGTAGGTCCCATGTCTTTTTTCTGCTGTTGCAGTTCATTAACCTTTACAAGTTCAAGACACAGGATTATGTTTTGGAATATTTCGTCTGTTTAGGATGAAAGTAAATTGATATTCATATGCTTTGAAACAAAAGAAAACAGGTGCAAGAAGCTGCTGGCAGCAGGTCTGCTGGTGCGAGGCCCTTTGCTTAGGCATGCTGCTCAGAATAGTTAACTTGGAGCATTGTTTGCATTCTCTTTCAAAGTCTGTCCTGGGCATGTGGAGATACAGGCTTTTTTCCCGTTGAAGAGAGTTATTCTGTTTGCTGTGCAGTGTTTTCCTGGAGTCTAGCTCCTAGAAATGCAATACAAGTCCACAAATGCCTCCCCAGAGAGCCTGTGTTCAGTGACTTCCACAGCTAAGCAGCACTTCAAGTTACTTAGTGTTCTAGTTTATCTGCCTTCTGAGTCCTGTTTGAAAAGCAAGGCCTATTTCTAACTAATTTTGTGGACAGACTTTTTGAGGAGCTTGGATTTGGAAGCCTGGTGTAGGAGCTGACTATGCCACTGGTCAGTCTCAAGGCAGCTCCTTGGTTTGAGGAGTTCTGAGAGCAAAGCTGGGCTGTGTTCTAGTTCTGTAGATAACAGCTTGTTTCTGGAAAATAATGCTCTCTTCCTAGCAAATGCTCTGGTCTTATCTGTCTTTAATAGCAGATACCTTCGCTGATTAAGAAGTTTAAATTTAAGAAGTGAAATTCATTCCTTCTGTCTAGCTGTTCTTGTTTGAATGTGGATTCCAGACAGTTCTGCTCCCGTTAGAGAAGACAAGCCAACAAAAGTGTGTCTCTATTCAGGCTGCTGTGCATGCTGTCTTAAGAGAATTCTCTTGCTGTTTGACAAGGGTCTCACCCTCAGTTCAAGACTGACTGTTAATTGCCCGTGATTTTTTTTGTTTAGATCAGGCAAAAACGTTTGTTAAAGTCTTCACTGAAATTGATCGGATGCCCCAGCTTCTTGCTTATTATTATAAATGTCACAAGGTAAGTGTTGTAATACTTTAATGCATCAGAGAACATCTGAATTCTTGCTCGGCTTGGGC